TGTGTGTGTGTGTGTGTGTGTGTGTGTGTGTGTGTGCGTACGCGTGTGTGTGCGTGTGTGTGCGTGCAGTACAGACATGATGTCATGGCTGTTCATTCTGTGTCCTTGTGCCCGTGCTCTCACTCAGGAGTAAAGTTTAGATTGTGGAAACTATCATTTGCATTATTAATTGTATGAACTTTATTTTCTCGTCCGTCGTGTGAAAAGTAGACGTCACTGTTTCAGCTGTTATATTATTATTATTGCTTAGTTTCCCTCTGACCTGTTTTCCAGTGAAAACACTGGGCACATGTTTGGAGCCTGAAATGACTTAAGTGTCTGTGAGTTCTTATTTTCCGTTCAGTGAGACCACATACCAGACAGCACTACACCGGGTTTATTACATCTGTTATTTAGCAAACGTTACGCAAACATCACTGCAGTGATCACCATGAAAACAACTTTATTTCACTTTCTTTAAAATTGTTAAATGTTCAATAATAATTGAATAAGTAAATTCATGGATCTAGATGAAAAGAAATCAGGCGTGTTTGTGCGCAATTTGGTTCTGATCCAAATAAAAATCCGGATCTAGTGAATTGACGTGGTTTAATAAGAGGACTGCGTAAAGTGAAAAGGTATTTCGTTGACGTCAGAAAAAATTCATTTTTTTTATTGAAAGACAATAAGCAATAGTTTTTAAAGCAGAAACCGGGAGTCTCTTTTTTATTAACCTTACTGTCTGTCAGCAAAAAGGAAATAGATCAAATCTTTTTGCGGGAGAAGTGAAATGAGACTCACATCCGTCTCGTTCAGTATAATGGGGAAGAGTCGATCCCACTGGACACACGGTCAGAGTGCTTCATCAGGCTCTCGGGCTCGGCTGCTGAAACCATTACATTCACTTCTGGATCACAGAATGGATTACGACCTCTATTTTTTCCCCCGCTAAGTGTTGGTATTTTTAGTAACGTGATTATGAAAGGAGAGCGGCGGCAGACAGAACCGCGATGTGGGATGGATTTGGGAGAAGCGTTTTCAGCCAGGATTTCTTTCAGTGCCGCGTTTAATCTACAGTGTTTTACGTTGTGGTTTTTTTCTGTGTTTCATATGAAGGTGGGAAATACAGTTGTCAGATCAAGGTCACTCTGTCATGGAGAAAAAAAAAAAGATAAGACGACCAATCAGCAAAGAAACACGTGACGTTAAAAAAACACTCTCTCCATCAGCAGCAGCAGCAGCAGCAGCCATCTTTGTTCTCGATGAAAATTCCCCATTGGACTCTCTTCTCTCAGCCGTTAAATGAAATCCGCTCGTGATTGACCCGACAAACTTGAGGACTGATTTAAATCAGGGTGGCGTCAGAATAATCGGGAAAATCCCGTGAACGCCACCTCACATCGCAACAACTCTGAAAGTCCGAGAAAACTTTGGAACCCAACTTGCCGACCTCGTCACTTTTAAAACAATTGACTCAATTATACAGTCGGCTCCGAACAGTAGTTTTAAATGTTTAACTTCTGTCACTTGCAAACTGTTTGTCTCTTACAAGCACCTCACATCAACACAACTACACACACAACACCAGTCTTGACCGAGGTCATCAGGATACATCGAGTGTGGCCCAACACACGACGTCGCCGCTCATGTGACTAGTTCTTATATTTGTTGCACTTAATCCTGATTTTATACGAATGAAAAGAAAAACCGTCAGAGCCTGAAAACTCGACTCAAAGAGGGTTAACGTCCGCGGCCCCGCCTGCAGAGCAGCGAGCCCTCCGACTGTCGGGGGGGTTATTCCTCCAAACTGAACCGCTGCTGCTGCTGCTTCCTGCTGCTTCGCTGTTTGTACAAACTCGCAGCAGCTCACAGACTCCGCCCTGTGAAATGTAGCTTTCCTCGTCTGACGAGTTTGTAGAGAACACCAGTGTGTGTACTGTGTGTACTGTGTGTACTGTGTGTGTGCGTGTGCGTGTGATCGAGCTACAGACCTACCCTGACCTCACCCTCTCTACTTTCTTCCTGTGTGTGTGTGTGTGTGTACTCGCTACATTCAATACACTCATGTGTTTATTTGCATTTTGTCCTGAAACAGCAGAGAACACACACACACACACACACACACACACACACAAACACACACAAACACACACACACACACACACACTGCTCAGTCTATAACTGAAACAAATTCCTCCTCATGCATCATGGGATATGTGGAAGCCGCAGTATTACACCATCCGACGCTCATCTGGATGCAGTTATGTGTTTGGTTGGAGCAGACCAGGAATCAGCACGTCAACACTAAAACAAACTTGACAATCAGGTGACGTGACAGTTTGAAACAGACCCAGGATCAGGCTGTGTGTGTGTGTGTGTGTGTGTGTGTGTGTGTGTGTGTGTGTGTGTGTGTGTGTGTGTGTGTGTGTGTGNCAGGATCAGGCTGTGTGTGTGTGTGTGTGTGTGTCGGGAGCACAGTGTGTGTGTGTGTGTGTGTGTGTGTGCGTGTGTGTGTGTGTGTGTGTGTGTGTGTGTGTGTGTGTGTGTGTGTGTGCTAATGCAGGACTCTGCTGCTCTCTAGAGGAAGTCCAGTGTAGTGTCGGGGGGGTTTAGCCTGTGAAGCTACTTGTCTTCTAAAAGACCAGTCCTGCACATTTCTGAATCTCATTAACTTTATTTTATTTGATATTATTTTATTTGAAGTTTTATTTGATCTTATTCACTTTATTTTATTTGATGTCCAAGTTCGTTGATTGATACTATGTCAAGGTGTTAGTGCCTGACTGCAGGATGATTGAAATCCCAAAATCTAATTTATCCTCTGTCTGTGTCTGTCCCTCTGTCCCTCTGTCCTCCGTCCTTCTGTCCTCTGTCCCTCTGTCCTCCGTCCTTCTGTCCTCTGTCCCTCTGTCCTCCGTCCTTCTGTCCTCTGTCCTTCTGTCTCAGTGGATTATGTGACAACATCATCCAGGACATCATCTATGGCTTCCTGGTTCTGCCCAACTCCATCAAAATCCCTCTGGTGGGAGAAGCTCAACTGGCCCAGTTGCGCTTCCCCATGCCCAAGGTAGCACACACACACACACACACCCCTGCCTCCTCCATGTTAGCAGATGGGACATGGTCCAAAATAAAAAGTCAAAGTTCATGTTAAGTAGATTTTTTGGTTGTTAATAACTGTCGAGCTCCGCTCCTGCTCCTTCCTCCTCCTCCGCCCTCTGGTACCCGTGTGTCTCCTCAGGGCCTCCTGAGAATCCACTTCATCGAGGCCCAGGACTTGCTGAGTAAAGACAAGTTACTCGGAGGGCTGATTAAAGGCAAGTCCGATCCGTACGGGGTCATCCAGGTCGGGACCCAAGCCTTCAAGAGCAAAGTCAAACACGAGACCATCAACCCAAAATGGAACGAGGTGTACGAGGTACGTGAGGAGCTGTGAGAGTTTGTCTTTGTTTTGTATGTCCCCGACTGTCCATTGCTTCAGCTCCTCTTTTCAGCAGTGGTGAGAGTTAACATTGGACATATTAATGTTTAAAGGTGTTAATTGTGTGTTAAGTTCATACTCATGTATGTATGATGTCTTTTCAGGCCTTGGTGTACGATCACTCAGGACCCAATCTTGGCATCGAGCTGTTTGACGAAGACCCCGACAAAGACGACTTTCTGGGAAGGTGCTGCAGAGCTAATGTTTATTTTTGTTTGTTTCTTTAGTTTTTTTTAAATTAAATCAATTAAATTAGGAATTCAGAGTTTTCCCCTCAGGCTGCTGGACCGTTCATTTTCCACCTTGTGAATTTTACTGCTTTTACTTCTACTTTATTTTGGAAGTAATTAATTGCAGCCTCATTAATGACAAGAAGTAGAGGAGAGTTATTCACCATCACGGGTTCTGGAACTATGCACAGATATATAATAAACGCTGAGGTAATGGGGATTGCACACATATGTTTTTTCTCATTTTAAAGATTTGATTCGACAGGATGAGGGATTTCGTTGTGACGCCGCAGCCAAACGCAGAGCGACGAGTCGGCCTCAGTGAAAGTTTCACACAGTTTGTGACTTTGTGTGTTTCAGTCTGGTGATCAACCTGGCCGAGCTCCAGAGGGATCAGAAGGTCGACTCGGTAAATGCATCTTCTCCTCACTGCTGCACTGTCCTCATCACGCTCATTTATCAGAATTGAAATATTTAGCATTAAACATTCTAGACAAGAAAAATAAGAAGTTCAAAATCTTTCAAGTATAAAAACATCTTTGGTTTCCAACTTAGGTTTTTAAAAAAATATAATGAACGCTTTATAGTATCTTCTGTATTTTTAAAACCCACTTCTACTGAAACCTGTGTGTCCTCAGTGGTTTGATTTGGAGGAAGTGGCCTCAGGGAAGCTGCACCTCAGACTGGAGTGGTTATCTGTGCTGTCCACACCTGAGAAGCTGGACCAGGTACCGGCTTCACTCACAGAACCAGATCATTTACATCCGCTTACATGACTGTGCGGCCGACCCTTGACCTTTGCCCGTTACTGACCAGCCTCTCCCACCCTCCTCCCCCAACCCCAAAGGCGCTGATGAGCATCAAAGCTGATCGCGGTCAAGCCAACGACGGCCTGTCGTCCGCGCTGCTCGTCGTCTTCCTGGATTCCGCCAAAAACCTCCCGGTGAGTGAGTCCGATCAAAACACCGGTAACTTTTTCCAGACTCTAGTGATGTTTCATCAACAGATAAAGAAATAGTTGACAGCGATGTTACAATTTACAGTGTTAATAAATCCTGGATACGCACCCTGATCCAGATCGGCACCAAACTTTAAAGAGTTCTTCCCTGACACGTACCACACCCTTCCTGCAAGGTGCCTGGTAATCCACCCAGGAGTTCATTTTAGAAATCTGGTTAAAAAAACAGACACTGATGAAACGGAGGCTCTAATGATCATGGGAAACACAAACACGGCTCTGGTTCACTCTGAAGATGCTTCCTGTTCAAACGCTGGGAGGATGTTATCTTTTGAGCTGCCGTGTCGCTGCAGGAACATTTTCAATCTTCAATCTAAAAAGCTGCGGACGAGAATTGTTAAAGTTTAAATTTCCTGGAATTGTGCTTAAAAGAAACACTTTCTAATAAGTGATCAGTTTTCATGAGATGAGTGAAAACAGGAAGTCTCTCGTCTTGTCTCTTACAGAACTGTGATTTCTCTACGTTAGCAGTTAAGCCTCTGTAGTGCACGCTTCACCTTCCTCTTTTCAGCCTCCTCTTCTTCTCTGCCTCTCTTCACCTCCTCCCCCCCCCTCTGAAGAGCGTCTTCGAGGGGAACTTGGGCTCTGGCTACTTAAAAGAGAGGCGGACGGCCGGCCTCGTGTTTTGCGAGAACACCGCCTCTCTCTATAGGACCTTGTTTGTGAGTCTGCCGGCTGTTTTCTGCATCCTAGAGCAGTCTGAGGTTTGATGAACCCTGCCACAGACGTCATGCTTTTCTCTTGTTGTTGTTGTGTTTGCTTGCGTTTGGTTCGTCTGCCTGATGAGCATGAATCCCTTCTAGTGCACGGGTTGAATTCTCCATAATCTTAATTTAACGTGAATGTTTTCTGTTGACTTCTCACAAAACTGAGATTGAAAATGTGTGAAAATAATGAGGGTTTATCTTTTTTTAAGGACGATCAAAAGCATCTTTCCTCTGCTTCGGTTTTCCCTCATGATGAGATTATTCAGCTCATTTCAACACATGACGTTCGGGCCGTGTTGAAGAAAAAAACAATATGGAGGATAAACTCATGATTTCAGGTCGATTTTCATCAGCAATGGTGGTAAAGACAACAACTCCCATGATCCCACGCTGCTTCATGATGTCATCAGACTAGGTCTCTTGTTATTCTTTTGATTGAGTGACCCCTAGTGACCGAAGTTACGTTACGTAACATTTACATTTGCCTTCAGTTTAAAATTCATCTTGCAGATTATAATCTGGAACAAGCGATGCTCAAAAAAACTGGCCCCAGAATTATATTAGAATTAAGAAGACATTAAAAATGTCAGCTCCTCCTTATTCAGCAACAAAATGATAAGTTTTTAAAAATGTCTTAAATCTTTTATTTGTCATGGACAAAAGGTTATTTGTAATATAAAGTAAAATATATTTAATCACAGTTTTTTTAATTAGTAAAATACTACAGAGACATATTTGTCTAAAGGGAGGAATGTTTTTAGATTTTCAGAGCAGGGAGGGTGAGTTCTCTGTGGATTGCTTCTCTACATCCATCATTTTTAAATCCACTGGTTTTCCCCTTCAGTGTCCTATGTGCCCGCAGCTCGACCACCAGGGGGCAGCACATGGACACTGTTCCATTCAAAGTGACTGTATATAAAGACGTTTTGACAGGAACCGTCTCGGCTGAGGTGAATATTGGCCGACACTTTACTCAGTGACGAGTCAGCGCCTCGTTCATCAGACCCAGTTCCTGTCAAAATGTCCTTGTGTTGTCTCAAAGCTGTGATTTCTTGTCCCATCACTGAGTTGACATGAGTCTTCAGACTTCAGACTGTAAATAAACATGGACGCCGCATCTCCACCTCCACCGCGTGGGTCCATCACGATAATTTGGCTTCATGCTGCAGCCTTCGTGTCGTCCATCTTTGTGTTCAGTCAGGGAAAAGAAACTCTGCTGCTCTGATTCTGCTTCACTTTCATTGTGTTGCCAGCAGAAGGTTGTAATCTTCACAGGAGGATGTGACGCTGACAGGTTCTGTTAGCGAGTCGCTCGTGACGTCAAACCCTCGCAGCTCCTTGTGGATCAGACTGATTCCTTCTCTTGTCTCTGTTTGTCTGATGTTGTGGCATTTTTCACTCGAGTCCAAACAATATTGTTTTTGGTCGAAGTTGCTTCGTGGCTTTTTTATTGTGAAGAACAAAAGAAGAAAAGAAAGAAATATTTTTCTAATTGAAATCAACTTTTCTTCAGATTGGTCTGTTTTTTTCAATTTCTTTTATTTTCAGTTTTTTGAGTTATTGTCTCTTCACGTTGACTCAACTCTTTATCAGCCGAATTTAAAGGGATTTAAAGTTTGACAGTTTCACGAAAACTTTCAATCCAATTTTGCTTGGACTCGTTTCGACCTCATGAGCGGATTTAGTTGGGTAATGACATTAACCACGTGATCATTCATGTTGTCTCTGTCGTGATGTGTGATGCATCCTCACGTTTGATGATGATGATGATGCTGGTGTGTTCTATCTCCTCCTCCTCCTCCTCCTCCTCCTCCTCCTCCCTGCATGCTCCCTTTTCCCTTAATAACCTGGTGTGTGTTTGTGTGTGTTTGCTCTCTCCTGCCTTGTCCGGGGGGAAAATCAAAGCGCAATCCGTTAGAGTTCAACCCATCGGGGCTGAAGAGGGCCTCGGTCAGTAAGGCCATCAAGGTAACGACATGGAGACGAAGCACACCCACATCGCTCAGACACTGAGGACGAATGCAGAGGAAACACAGAGACAGACGCTCGCACATTCAACTCGTGTTCCAACAGTTCGGCAATAAAGTTTGTGATCACTTTGAACGCAGTGTTCGTTAACGTCACTCCACAAGCAGGGGGCGTCATTCGGCTCTGATTCAAGGTAAAACAGAATAAAATAAATATTGGATTAAATGAGATGTAAACTAGATCAGAGACACAGTGAAGCTGTTTTCACACATAAACTCTGGAGAAGTTCAGACGAACAGCTTCAGGATATTTTCTGGAGTTTGTCGCAGCAGGAGATTGTTTGGAGACAAAATAAAAGAATCGTTAAAATGTGAATATCCTCTCCTGTCAATTATCTGCAGCTCTGTTTAAAACATGAGCAAACTCCACTAATCACATCTGTCGACTAAAACCGTGCGTGGTGTCTAACAATGTGTCGTAAATAACAGCGTTGTTGTCTGAAGCACATTTACACCGATTCATTCTGAAACCTTTAATTCAGCTTCTCTTTCATTCTGATCTCATGAGGGTTTTCTCTGCTTTGGGGATTCCATCCTAATCCCTTCACGTTAAAAGTGACACATTTTCCCATCGCACCGGTTTGTCTGGCGTCGTGTCGAACATGACACCGTCTGTGTTGTGAATACATTTAACACTGTGCATGTTTCAGTGGCGAATTTAATCTGTTTCACTGAATCGTTCAAAAAGCTGGAAAAATAACATCCAGTTAAATCTTTGTTACACGTTGCTGACGGTTAACTTTGATTTGAAGTCATCACAAGTTTTTAAACACCTCAGTTTCTTGTTTTATAAAAAAAAAAAATAATAATAATGTTCTTCCTCCGCAGTCCGGTAAAAAAGTGACCAGTGATCCCAGTCCGTTAGTCCAGTTCACAGTGGGACACAAATCCTTCGAGAGCAAGGTGAGACCACGGTTTGTTAATTCAGTGGTTGTGTATATACATATGTATGTATGTATATATATATATATATATGTTATTTGGTTTTTCTGAAAATTAAAAGATATGTTAAATTATTGCACAGGAGCTCGTTCAGGCTGGTCTCATTCATGTAATGTCACTTTGTAAAGTCTCTGTGTGTTGTAGTTCTTTTTCACTGATACAAATATTAACAAGACGTTAAAAAAACGTGGACGTGAGAACTAATCGTCTACGAACACGTGATCCCGTCGCTCGGATCAGTATTACGGTGTTTTCACCAGAGACCCTTCCTGACTTGTTGCCGCTGTCGCTGCTTGTGTCATGTGTCTTGACCTTGTTTTGAAATGCTCGTGTTTCCAGACCAGATATAAAACCAATGAGCCCGTGTGGGAGGAGGCCTTCACCTTCCTCATACACAACCCCAGGAGCCAAGAGCTGAAAGTTGAGGTGTTGAAACTACACAGGATATTCTGATTGCATGATTTAAAATGTGGGAATGACAGCATAGAGTATCAAATATAAAGTTAACCATAGATTACAATTAATAATTGTATGAATAATGATTGTTAAATTAAAGAATAGATACAAAGAATCCGTTAGAATAACAGTAGAATAAAGATGAATTAAGCACAAAAGTAGAAGATGTGGTGATATTGAAGTAATTAAATAATATATTGCACCAAATAATGAATTTAAATGAATAATGATGATGATTAATGGTTAATATGTATTGCACAGTATAGTAAAAGTAGTAATGTACATACAAATGATTCTGCAGATAGGAAAGAAGAGAAGATGATTAAAAATCAATGAATACAAAAGTAATGTTGCCGATAGAACACTGCTCTACTGCTGTTGTGACATTACACTGTTGTGTTTCCACAGCTGAAGGATGAGAAACACGAATGTTCACTGGGGACAATAAATCTGCCTCTGAGTCGCCTCCTGGAGGCCGAAGACATGACGCTGAACCAGAGCTTCCCCCTGAAGAACTCTGGGCCGAGCTGCACCGTCAAGATGAAGATGGCTCTGCGGGTACGAGCGCCACCTGTTGGAGCTGCTCTCTTGGTTCATCGGATGAAACTTGTCCGTGTGCTTAACAAATCAGCCGGTGTGTGATTTACCTCGTTCCTTTTGTGGGATTTCAGGTGTTGTGCCAGGTGAAGGACACTTCCGCAGCCTCAAACTCCGCCCCGTCCTCGGCGCTGGTCGGTAAGTCCTCCAGCCAGACGCCGCGAACGTCCGTCTCCTCAGACTCGAAGCCTCCCTCCAACGCCCCTGAAAGCCTCCCCTCGGCGTCTCCGTCGGCCCAGGACCTGATGAACCGGCAGAGGGACACGGACGAATATGTCCGGTCTCCTGGAAGCACGGACTTGGGGCAGGGCGGAGGGGAAAGAGGAGGTCATAGCCTGGCGGAGTCCGGCAGGAGCAGCTCTAATCTCGCCATCTCGGGCTCCCAGCAGTACCTGGCCGGAGGCAAAGAGCCGACGCCCAGCATCGCATCGGACATCTCCAACCCCTACGCTACGCAGGAGCTGCAGCAGAGGCTCCACCTACTGCAGAAGTATCTATCAACCAATCAAATATCAATTTATCCCGCGGTCGGAATGTGGGCGTCTGACAAATGACGTGATCTGAGAATAGTTGTGTTTTTGGTGTGTGTGAAAGTTTAGTTAATGCAGCAGCATCACGGTGACGTTAGCATGGACTGTCTATAAAGATGGACGAGCTCGTGAAGTGAAGTCAAAGTGTCTCGATCGTCTCCACCTCGTCCTCCGTCCCTCCAGATACAAAGATCCCAGATAAAAACGCTGCCATCTTCTTTTTGACAGCATCAAATTACGGATTAAAACCAAAGTTATCAGAAACACCTGAACAAACCTCAGTGAGATGAAATGACAGAAACCATCTTTACGTGTGATTCCACTGGTCCACGTCCCATCCGCTAACCTGGAGGAGGCAGGGTTTATGACCTGTAAAACCAGCCACCAGGGGGCGAGCGAGACACTTTGACTTTCACTTCACGAGCTTTTGCGCAATGAATCGAAAGCTGCTTTTTGCGGAGGCATCGTGTCGTCCATCTTTATAAACAGTCGCAGGTTCAAACCCAGAACCTTCTCGATGTGGTGCCACAGAATCTCACCAGACCCCCCCCCCCCTCTGTCTGTAGCGGCTCAGGCCCCAGTTACTTCCCGCTGGGTGAGGTCCAGCTGACGGTCAGACACAGCTCGCAGAGGAACAAGCTCATCGTCGTGGTTCACGCCTGCAGGTACGAGATAACCGTCGTGAAGGTTTTTACTCCGACAACGTTTCATCTACATTTTTATTCAAGCTCTGTTCTTCTGTTGTTGCCTCAGAAACCTGATCGCCTTCACTGATCAGGGGTCAGATCCGTACGTCCGCCTCTACCTGCTTCCTGACAAACGGAGGTCCGGCAGGAGGAAAACTCACACGTTCAAGAAAACCCTCAACCCCGTTTATGATCAGACGTGAGTTCCTCTGCCGCACGTGAACCGAGCGGTCGATCCGAGTCGCGGTCGCCAGTCATCGTCTTCCTCTGTGTGTCTGTGCAGGTTTGAGTTCAGCGTCTCCCTCGTGGAGCTCCACAGACGGACCCTGGACGTGGCCGTGAAGAACAGCGGAGGTCTGCTCTCCAAACACAAAGGCCTTCTGGGAAAGGTACTGACGTTATCTTTGTGTCTTTCCCATTCGTATGTAACGCTGCAACAAAATCGTCTTCAGCAAAATGATCAAATGATCTTCTGCTGTTTTCAGGTTCTGGTGGACTTGACTCATGATGACATCACAAAGGGTTGGACACAATGGTTCGTAACTTTCATTTGTTAAAAGCAGACGATGCAGATCGATGTGTTTGAATAATTAAAGTTCTTCTTCTAAGGTTTCTTTTAAAAACATAAGTAGAGCAGTTTATCTTCTTCTGAGCTTTGTGACTTGAAGGCGACGAGCCTCTCGAATCACGTCCTCACGAGGTCACGCGCAGCGATTAGCGACCGCTGATCAAACACCGATTTGGCTCCGATCAGGAGCTTTTATTTTTTGAGTTGCGTAGCGAGAACCAGGCTCGAGCGTCTGTGAGGACGTTGGTTCGAGCTGTGTCTCAGTTGATCACAACTTGTTTTCCATTCAAATTAAAACACGCTCCTCTCTCCCCTGCAGGTATGAGCTGAGCGAGGACGGTCTGACGAGGCCTCAGCAGCTATAGACGTCAACGACACGTCGTCATGACAACATATCGCCGCTTGACGTCGTTGCACCACGTTATTTTATTTTTCATCACTTGTAACTGTAAAAAAAAAAAAAAAAAAAGCAGAAAAGCAGCTTTCGATTCATTTAATCACATCAGTCGCAAGGCAAACGTCCCCTTTAAGAAGTGAGTGAGAGTATATATGCAACGAGTAGAAAACTATATATGACTCAATATACAGTAGAATCTATTTTAGTCGTAAAGATCGAAGATGCGGAGGTTTGTAAATAATGTAAAGTGATGCAGGAGGAAACAGACGTGCAGAGGAAGATGTCCGAGGTCTCTGACTTGGCCAAACGATTGTTTGTAATTTTATCTGTTTTCATGATTGTTGTTATTTTTTTCTTTTTTAATTGCTAAATATTCTGGACGGAGTTTCAGAGGCAGAGCGGGCGGCCGGCCGTGTGCAGGGAGAGACGTCACCAAAGAGGGCAGAAGTATTTTTATTTTTCCACCCTCGTGGATTTTGGCAACACAACTGTACGCTGGCTTTATTCCACTTTAATAACGTGTGTATTAACCACGCGATGAGAACTTTAACAACACAAATATCGTGTTTCATATGATGCAAGTTTATTTCGCTCGATATCACAGACTTAATATACCTGCTGTTACACTGAAATGAGGCCGCCACCTGATTTTAAAAAAAACTATTTGCACATTTGTGTGTGTGTGTGTGTTTTTTATGTGGTCGGGGATCATCTTTGTTCTTATCAGCAACATTTCCTGAATTCATTTAGGATGAACACATCAGTTTTATCAGATAATTTCATCTCAGATTCATTAAATTCTTGTTTTTCTAAATGTAAAATTCAAAGATTAAAGTCTTGAAATGATGAAATAACGGTTTTAAAGGAATACGCTTTGTTTTGGCTTTTTCACCGAACGTTAAACGCGAGTTTGAGTCCACCTGCTCTCACCTTTTCAGTTCATTAGTTATTACATCATATGTCACATTAAATCGTTTTATTGTTTGCTTGTATGGAACAAACAAGAAATCCACCAAATAACCTCGGTGAAACCTCCAACGGATGTTTTTACACTCATCCCTGTCGCCGTGCTTTATGCTAAGCTAAGCTAAGCTAACGGTCTCCTGGTTAAAAAAGAAAGAAAACATGGATTTATCAAAATATTGAACTGTTCCTGAGTCACGTTGGACTTGATTTAAAAATGAAAAGTGTGAAAAACAACATTTGTGTTAAAAATAAAGACGTAAAGCAGCAGAGTGGTGAGAGATCCACCCCCCCCCCCCCTTATCGTTCGACCCCTATTCTAAGATAATGAACAGTTTGTACAAAAACAGATGAATGGATTCACCAGACACCTTCAAACTCATTTATCTTGAAGATGCTTTTAATCCCAAACTCTTTATTTCCCACTTCCTGTTGTGTTCGTCGCTCACGTTTTGTCAAACATCGGTCTTAACGCTTCATCGAGCGTCATTTTCAAATCTACAGTTACTCACAAAATGTGTCGTCTGAAGCAAAACCAGTGACGAAAATGACCTTTCTCTGGTTTCCTCTCGATTTGTTGAGTTTTTTTTTGTGTTTGCTTTTAGTTTTTTTGTTTAGTTTTGTTTTCCTATTTTGTATATTTGTTATTTTTCATTTTGTATTTGTCGTCTTTTGTTTTTTCACATTTGTTGTGCGTCGCCTTGTGTGAATACTCTTGTTGTGTCGTTCTCTGTAATGAAGCATCGATCTGACAACGCTCGCTCAGATTTACACCAGATCAGATGATTTGGTTGTGAATCAGTCTTAGTATCGAACACCTCGTTGTGTTTGTGTGTCAATACGCAGTCAAACATTAGTGATTGTGTGTTGACGCTGAGGCGGCTGCAGTTTGACCTTTGCCTTGTTCTCATCCACATCAGGCATCGAGAGTATTTTACATAAACGTCTGTAAACTCGTTTAATGTCTCAGTGTTTTTTTCCAGCTGTCGTCCTCTTTGTCGTTTCCTGTGTTTCAGTCACATCTGTAGTTTGTGTGTAAGCCGTCGGATTTGAACGCTTTGCCTCTGCGGGTGCAGTGTGTCCTTGTTTATCTTGTTTTTATCTTGTGCCTTAAAATTCACACGGCCCAGAGACATTTACGTGTTTGAAAAGAACCAACGTGTTTCAGAACGTCTCCTTAATGAAACGAATAAAGAGCTTCGGCTGTAGCAGCAGGAAGCTGAACAGCACCGTGGCCTCTGACTCTTTTTTTATTTCCATGACGACGCTGTGAGGTGAGTTCATCACGTTCCTGTTGAACCCGTCCACACGTAGACACGAGATCGAACCCTGGACGACTAAGAAAGGTTCCAAACTAAAAGTCTTAAAATGTGTCACATTGTGAAATCATACAGTTTAATTTAATTATCAAAACTCGCTTTTCAAGCAAAAACAAGAAATAAAGTTTACATTTATTGGGAAGATGAGTTGAAAAATATTGAAAAACGGAAACAAACAAATATTAAAAAATAAATGATCCTTAAAGAGTTTATGAGCGATACTGCAGCCAGCCACCAGAGGGCGATGGAGGAGATTGGGCTTCACTTATACCTTAAAATTCACCAGAAGTTATTTTATATTTCAAAGTTCATATTTGAGATTTATCGAAATTAAATAGTCTTTAGTTTTATTCCCATTTTAGTCACATGTTTTTTTCCCGACAGCACCTGAAGGTGGCGCCAGAGTCTGAGGTTCATGAGTCCGTCAAGTTAACGAAACGTCACCATGTTGCCGGAAGTAACCTTCACAATAAAAGCCTCATTAAAGGTCTGCGTCACAGCTTTGACAGGATGTTTGATTATGACTTATTTTCCTGTCGTGTGGAACTTTTTGTTTTAGCAGCTCTGATCATATCGTTGTCATTTATCATTAAATGCATTAATTTGATTTCTCCACAATTGCAAGTAATTTTTTTTGTCTCAGGCTTTTACTTTAGAAGTCTTCACCGGAAGTGACGCACCTAACAACAGCGTAATTGACAGTGTGCAGCAGGAGGAAGATCTGCATCCTCCTCCTCCTCCTCCTCCTCCTGCTACAACATCCATCCACCGACCGGCTCTCCTCTGCTCCTCCAGCCGCTGAGGGGCCACTGTGAACGGGCAGGAGGACCAACCAACCCCCCCCCCCTCCCACCAGCACCTGGAAGAAATGGCCTTTTAACACAAGGAGAGAATAAACCAGAAGAGACATGACTCCTTCCTCCTCCATCCTCCTCCTCCTCCTCGCCTCCCTGAGCCGCTCCTCCTCTGAGCGGAGACTCGGTGAGTACACGGACGGGTTCTCGTCTTTCACGGGGCTGATGCTGATGAAGCCATTTTGCAGCGGAGCTCCGGAGGTTTGTGTGTCTGAGCTGCGAATTCACCTGAAATCAGAAAAACACAGAAGAGAGCAGAAGGTTCAATCCACAGAAAGTCCAGGAATCAACTCATCATATCATCATATAT